GAATAAGAGTACCAAAAATAAAGAATGGTAAAATAAGAATTGTTCGTTGAGCAATAGATTTGCTTTTTTTCTTATCAAATTTGACTCCTTTAAAAATAAGTACTGCTCGTTCAACTGCTACACAAGCATTAAGCCAACCATCTAAGTAGAGAAAAAGTTTTAGAATCGGTTCAATAGATACACAACCTCCACGAAGAACAGAGAGACTAGTGGACACATTGATATGAGTGAGAACAACAAACCAGAATTTAATTATGAACATACTAATTGTTAAAAGAGAAGTAATCGATGATGCTAATAGATACATTCCACATCCAACTTGTTGAGAATCTTTATGTTGAAATGTAATAAAAGAAAGAATACTGTTGATTAATCCTGCGACAAACATAATTATTGTTAAAGCCGCACTTAATTTAATCGAAAATGATTGATTATTCAATACTGTGTTCGGCTGAAGCTCATCGCGTAAGATATCATCGAGTGTCAAACCAATTCCTTTGATGTAAAAGTTACATTGATCGCCGATCACACAACTACTTTCTTTTGGACCTAAAATAGTGGATGTATTTTCAAAAAAAGAATGACGAAGAAATTAAGTTGTTTTGACAATTAGAATATTCAATTTTGACAATTTACTTGTTTCTCAAATGAAAAGATTTTCCAAAGTGTTGCAATATATGCATCTTTCGCTACTGATTTCAAAAATAAAAAAAATTACGGAAGAAACTTTTACTTTTGCAAAACTTCGAGTCTTCGAAAAATTCAGATCTATAAAAACTTAAAGGGCTGTGTAGCAACATTCAAAATATGGAAAATCTATCTACAATTCACGTTAAGCAGATATTTTTTTTAACAAATCGATCGGCTCAACGATTCTGAAAACTATTTAATACAGTACCTCGATGATCTTTTTTCAAAACCTAAAATATAAATAGTGCATTAATCAAAAAAGTGCAAAAAATCTTTTCGCATGTTTTATTGGGTGATATAATTGTTATCGAAAAAATCATACGAATACTTACTGAAAGGACTAAGACTGACATTGTTTGGTCCAGAGATAAAAACAGAGAAGTTGCCAGTTATCTTAGGCTCGCGTGTTGTCACAACTAATATGTATCGAGTGTTGATCTCGAGTTCAATGATTAATTTGAATTGTCCATCATTACATTTACCATCATGTGACAGGAGTAAATTTTCAGTTGGCTTTAGAGGATTGAAATCATTTTTGTAGATATATCCATACGCATTAATGTTGTTTTCACTCCAAATAACATACAAACCAGTTGTATTAACATGAATTTGTAATGTTTCATAATGACATTGTGGTACTTGACA